AACTGTTATTAAGCTCACCTTTTTATAGACCATAATTCACCACTCTCAGATTTGTGTTTTTTTACGGTATGATGTCAACCGTTATCTAATATGTTCACCTTTACGATGAAAAGTACTTGCAAATTCTCAACTTCATATTCGAATTAATTTGTGACAACTGTCTTCCAGTTTGATTGCTTCGTACGCCCTGGGAGACTAGATTCCTACATTATTCACAGTTCCAGTATAACTTTCTCACACAGTAAGTTCAAAGTAAACACTAGTCTTTCTAAATAAGCATGTTAAGCTAATATCCGTATTCTCTATTTCAGTTGATCGATGAAGACATGTACCACGTGCATCTGCTGTATATTGCTATTTTACTCCAATTCTAACTGTTATATACTGAAAAATAAAATTGCTATATGCAGCAAATACAGACTTATTGTTTTGATGGTGGTAGGGGGGTTCATTGGTTTTTTAGCAGGACTGTAGTAATATTCCCACTAAAGAGCTAAGTGAGTGCGTAGACCAATGTAAAGTACCATACAGGGTGCCTTTGAATTACTCGTGTTCCATTAGTGTCGGTAGTCAGTCAGTCAGTAATAACGTAGAACTTAGTACGTACGTACATCAGTTCGAGTTGCCATACCACATTAGCACAGAGATGCAGTGGTCGATTCAAATCCCGTAGTGGTAGAGGTAGCAAGAGTATAAGCAGTAATCGGGAAGATTAGGGTTTGGAGATGTTATTTAACGAGTATAATCCAGTGAAATAAATTTGGAAAGAGGAAAAAAAGGGGCATGAAGAATTCAGATAATTAGAATTTGGGAGAACATAGAGAGTGGATGCACCTGCGCCATTGCAAACGATTTTGAGCCATGTCATTCAGGGTCTCTAACCATCGGTTGCTATCATCTCGCGGTCCCCAACCAGGTAGTCTGGTCTGGCCGCCCCTAGCTTTCTTCCAACCCACTCCTATACCACTGAATATAGCACGTCGAGGTAGTCGGTGGTTGGGCATACGTAACACGTGTCCCAGCCATCTCAACTGTTGAAGTTTCACTACTTCATCAATTGATTTGCCATCCTTACCTAGTACCCGTTTCCTAACAAATGCGTTACTTACTCGGTGGTCCCAGGATATACGAGCAATACTTCGAAGACACCTATGATCAAATACTAGTAACCTACGAATATCCTCTACTCTTACCGGCCATGTTTCACTTCCATAAAGTAGGACGGAACGAACTGCTGCGCAGTAAACACGTCCTTTGGTTGATAGACGGATATCTCGCCTACGCCATAAATGACGCAAGTTGGCAAAAGCTAGTCGAGCCTTCTGTATCCGTGCTGAGATTTCGTCACACACCAGACCACAAGGGCTGATGAGACTTCCAAGATAAGTGAAGCGATCGACACGCTCAATTACTTCACTCCCTATCATTAGTTCGGGTGTCAATGTAACCCAATCCTGAAGCAACATTTTGCATTTCGAGGGAGAGAATCGCATCCCGAACATGCTTGCATTGTTGCTTAGAGTGATCAGAAGACTCTGCATTTTGTCAGCGTCTTCACCAAATAAAACTATGTCATCTGCATATTCTAAGTCAACAAGTGAACCTCCCGGTAGAAGTTCAACCCCCGGAAATTTAGATGAGGAGAGTGTTATCTCTAAAAGTACGTCGACCACAAAGTTGAACAAGAATGGGGAGAGTGGACAGCCCTGATGAACACCACTTGAGGTAATCAATTCTGATGACAGTTCGCCATAAGCTCTCACTCTACCAGTTGTGTTCGAGTAGAGAGCCTGAATAAGGTTAATGTACTTCTTTGGTACTCCTTTCAGTGACAAACACTGCCATAGAACCTTACGATCAACAGAGTCGAATGCCGCCTTAAGGTCGAGAAATACTACCATTGTGGGGCGTCTAAACGTGTGTCTGTGTTCTAGAACCTGACGTAGTGTGAATATCTGATTTATACAACCACGTCCAGGTCGAAAACCAGCCTGGTTTTCTCTAATCTGCTCTTCGCGAGCTTTGATTAGGCGTCGAAGTATTATTGAAGCTAATATTTTAGACACTATATTAGTCAAACTGATTCCTCTATGATTGTCACAAGAGGACTTTTGTCCTTTCTTATAGACTGGTACAATCAGTGATTGAGACCAGTCAGATGGAATTACGTCCAGTTCCCAAATTCTACCTAAGACCTCGGTTAATCTCATTGCTAATACTGGACCACCATCCTTAAAAATCTCAGGAGTAAACCTGTCAGGGCCTGAATAAGAAGCTATGAGATTAGATGCAGGGACGGTTAGGATGTGTAACGCGTGTCCATCCATCAGTTTTCGTGGCAACTCACGGTGGCTAGAATAAGTTGTGAGAGGACCCGAGCCTGTAGGTTTCCTAAGAAAGTGACGGAGATATGCACCAAATCACCTTATGAAGAGCGCCTCCAATCACTTAATCTCTACTCATTAAAGTATAGACGTCTTAGAGGTGACCTATTTACTTACAGGATCCTTAACACTTCTGGACATTTTCTTAAACACCTATTTGAGCTTAGTCCCAGAAACTAGAGACACGACATAGCAGAATGGACTGTAGACGCAACTTCTACTCCTTAAGAGTTGTCGAATGCTGGAATCCGCTGCTCGCCGAACTAGTCCAAGCGACTTCCCAGGAGTCCTTTGGGAGGCGACTGGATCTTTTATTGTTAACATACCTAGGTTCCTGCTTGGAGGTTTTGGTGATCCCCTGCTAATAGACACGGAAGCCTGAACACATGAATAAGTTGATGAGAGGCTCGATTATCACAAGTTTCTTGCAACGATTAAGTAGATAAAACAAAGTAGCATTAGGTTCAAAAATTTATTCGAGAACTTTCATTAAGAATCGAATATGAAACAAAGGTTTAAACCAAGTTCCAGTCTAAAAGTTGCATTTGTAATGTTAAGCTTCAGTTTTTGTTGTTTTTTCCAAACGAAAGGGTAAAAGAAGTAACTCAAAAAGTACTGGAAGTGGTTGTGAGATTAAAATGGACATCCAGCATCCTTTTTATAATCTGCTGTTAGTTGGGTCTCCCGTAAACAGATCCATAGGGCCATAGTTCTAAGGGCGAAACAGTTCTTAACATCTGTGAAGACTCAGTCCTGTTGCATTCTAAATGAGAAAACAGTAATGAATTTAGTCAGAAATGTGGAATAGATAAATAACCAAATTACATGTATTTTAGCAAAGAATTTATGCAGTTGTGATTTACCTTTAGTTCATGAATATTAGGTCAGGTCAGCTATTTATTGTGCAAAGCATAACATGGACTTAATACCGTATCTCAATGCTTTTATTATTTTGCTCTCATTTAAGTATTACCATGTATCTGCATCTAGTTTAACAGGGAGACATACAAGCAGAGTTAGTGTTCGATGAACTAAAAGTCCTAGTAGTCAAAAAGATTCTTAACATTTGTCCACAGCCAACTGCATTTAATTGAAATACAGAACACTCATCTTCTAAGACTGTATACTGCTCTTCTACGGGCAAATAAAAGCTCAGATACTTAGCTATCCTGCTACCGATGTTATTGCTGGGGAAATTGTTTAATGACAGTGATCATGAAATATGGTCAGTGATAGATGTACAATCTAGAAATAAACACCAAACATACTTATCGCTATCTTATAATGTATGACAGCAACAGTACCAAAAGCACTTTTTTCCTATTTTTAATCAGACTGATTTGAATCAGTATACTCATCAGAAACAGGCAACTCTACTTACTAGGCTGATCTGTTTCGTTACAGACTTCAAGCACTATACTTAAGTATACCATAATTCTTTCAACTAAACTGAATTATACGACAACCAAGAATACTAAACTAAGCAAGTGTCATAGTTATTGTTTCATTTGCACAGGCATATTGCTTAAAGTATTTAAATGGACATAATTAAGACGATAAAACAAAAACACGAAATATAGGCCAATTGAACTTACCGAACAGAAGACAAAGAATATATATATTGCTTTCCGACTGACGACAACAAGCAGTTGTTCATAAAAACATAGATTATAGTACAATAAACCTTTCTACAGTAAAATCATGCACTGACAGTCTATCTGGAAACAATCAACTATGTGAATAAACTCACTATGACTTGAGATATCATCCCAGTATGCAATGGACGTGCAGTGTAACGCAGTCGAATGTGGCGAATAAAAATATAAAAAAAGATCAAAATTAGCTATATAATCTAGTTATTTAATTAAAAATACATTATGAAATGTCAAAATCTGTGGTTACTTGAACGCAAAGATGACCGGTACATTAAGTTTACATGGTTGCGTTGCGGATAAGATCACCCACGGCGAGCCACGAAATCAGTTCGCGGACTCAAATCTAAGCCTTACGAAGAACGCCTTTATTCACTAGACCTTTACCCATTAGAGTATAGGCGTCTTAGAGGTGATTTATTAATGGCTTATAGTATTCTTAACACTTCTGGACATCCTCTTAAACACCTACTCAAGCTTAGTTCGAATACTAACCTAAAGGGTAACACCCAGAAACTGGAAACTCAACATAACAAGACGGGATGTAGACACAACTTCTACTCCTTAAGAGTTGTCAAAAGCTGGAATTCACTGCCGGACGAGCTAGTCCAAGCGACTTCTAAGGAGTCCTTCAAGAGGCACCTAGACCTATTCTTAAGGACCAAGGACAGTATCATACTATGATTTACCAATTTCTTTTCCTCTTTTATTGTTAGCATACCTAGGTTCCTGCCTGGAGGATTTGGTGATCCCCCGCTACTAGACACGGAAGCCTGTTAAGCGAAAGCTTCTTCTATTCCATCCACAACCATTTGAACCATTAGGTAAATCGTTGCGATAAAATAATATCACTGAAGATTTGTCCTGTATTATGCATAATTACGATGTCATTATTAGACAAAGTGTGGCTGAACTCAAACAAATCTAAAACGGTCTTGATTTGACCGCTTCTTCAAAACTTGACTGACTGTCGAGGTGACGCGCCAATCATTTTATGACGGTTTGACCTTGAAGTGCTCAGCGACCTCCATCAGTGGACGATACCCCTGAAGCGTTGCCCCTAACATCAATCCTCAAATGAATCTAGCATATCTTGACGGTTAGTTTTCCTAAACCTTCGTTTTAAACTATTGATGTGAAAACTATTCTCTGTAAGTTCTCACGACAAAATAAAGTCAGTATTTGTATCGTTTTGAAAAGGGCAGTGATTTTTGTACTTATTGTGATTATCCTTCCTTTGTGTACGTGTTGCACCGTAAAGCATTCTTGGTCTACTTTAACTAAAAGTGCTTTGGTTAAGGTTTAAGATCTTTGTTAAACATTGTCCTGTGGTACCTCTTTCTGTACTCATTGACTGACACTCGTGTTCACATTGTGATCGTATTGTGTTTCAAACCTTTTTAATCAAATTACAATGGTCAGTAAGACTTATAAATATGGACAACCAAACTGCCTGTTCCCCGTTGAGGAAGGAATGCATTGCAATGAATGTAAAAACTGGTACCATAAGATATGTACACGTCTAAGTCCTACGGCATACAAAATTTGCTCGAAGCCTAACTCGCATTGGCTTTGTATGCTCTGCTGTACAAGTAAAAAGTTACTAATCCAGGAAGCTATGAGCCTATTAGCTATGGCGTGTAAGAAAAACGATGGGGGTTGCCCTAACGATATGATACTGAGATTCCGATTTGTATAGTAAGGACAGAAGGCCTACGGCCTATGTTATTCCTTTTCTAGTATGCTTCTGTGAGTGTTCAATCTTCTCTTGAAAGAGTCAATTGAAGGTGCGGACAGCAGGTTCCAAGTATTGATGACTCGGTGTGAAACCCTGTATGCCACGAGTATTTTGTTCATTCTTCGCTTTTTTACTCACCTGTGATATCCTCTGAGAGAATAAATTAGGTCCAAATTCATTTCTCAGTATTCTGTACATCAATGGTGGTCTAGCTTCAACTGACTCATGATTTCAATCTGTGAAAATTGGATCTCCCTTTAATCTGCGATAGGACAGAGTAAAGAGGTTCAGCTTTTCAAGCCGCTCTTTGTATGGTAAACCCCGGAGTTCTGGAATTGCACGAGTAGCTGCCCTCTGTACTTTTTCTAGGATATTCGAGCCACCTTTTAAACAGGGTCTTGCAGCCTGAATGCAGTTCTCAAGCTTAGTTCTCACTAAGGATGTGTATACTGTGGTGAACATGGTAGTATCTAACTCAGTGAATGTCCGTTTTAAAGCTCAGAGGGTTCGAAACCCCTTAGCTGAGACCTCCAGGTAATGGGCCGTCGTCTTGAGATCATGACTCACTGTCACCCCTAGATCCTTATGAGACCGGATTACGGGTAATGGCACTTCTCCTATGTTGTACCTATTAACTTTGGAATCCCCAAAGTGCATGTAGACACACTTTGCCGCGTTTATAGGCATCAGCCACTCTTTAGACCAGTTTAAGTATGCCTGAAGAGCACATGCGTCTATGTCTCCAGTTATTACTCGCCAGATTTTTACATCGTCAGTGTATAATAACATTGGAGACTGACTATACTTGGAAGATCATTAACATACATTATAAAAAGTAAGGGACCTAGGACGGAACCTTGAGGTACCCCACTAAGCACTAGTCCCCAGATGGAGGAAATCCTTAATCCATTTTAAAAGAGGTCCGGAAATATCAAGGTTTTCCAACTTCAGTAGCAGTCTATTAGTTGACACCTTGTCAAAAGCCTTACTGAAATCTATGTAGACAACATCCACTGAGTTTCCGTCGTCTAGCGCATTTATCCAAAACTACCTTGCTATAAGGAGGTTTGTTGTACAAGATAAACCCTTACTAAAACCATGTTCTATGTTTAGCAAGTTATTGGTTTCCATAAATGCTATTATGGTCCGTTCGACTATTCTTTCCAATATTTTAACTATAACACTGGTGAGGCTTACAGGTCTGTAATTCGATGGAACTTGTCGTGGACCTGTTTTATGTATGGGAGTGACGATTGCGTCCTTCCAGTCCATAGGTAACACACCTTGGTCAAGTGACATATTCAATATCACAGTCAGTGGGGTCACGATTTAGTGTGCAATGTGTCTCAAGATTTTGGGATGTAATTCATCTGGTCCTGTTGACTTTTCCATGTTTAAGGTTCTAAGAGCCTTAAGCACATCTTCTTGATTGAAGTCCACGGTGAGCAGTTGATTAGTTGACTGTTTATTTTGGTCTGGTTCTTTCTCTAGAGGAGGTTCCTGAGTGGAAACTGCCCCAAAATAGTCAGCCATAGCCTCTGCTTTTTCCTGATCTTCCTCTATCATTTCAGATTCACACCCTTCTTTAATTATGTTGCGAATCCAATGACGCATCCTTGTTCGGTAGTTTATGTACGAGAATATTCTCTTGGGCTGCTTGAGTGCAGATTATGCCAACTGCATTTAATATTTTCCTTGAGCTTCCCGAATTTTTGTCATACACTTGTTTCTTACCGATTTGTAACGTTCCATCGTACCTGCTGGGCCAAGGCAGATGGCAACATCCCAACATTTCTTCTTTTGTCTTAGTAAACGTCGAATATCCCGGCCTATCCAGGGATGGTCGTGCTTTTTTTTCTTTGGGACTGTCCAGGGTATGTATGGTTGAGTTACCCGATTGTATAACTGCCTGAAAATAGTAAATACCTCTTGACTTCAGAAACCCTTCTTCTCTTTTAGATTTAGTCTTCACACACGGTGATGACGTTGGTCAAATGACTTTCCTCCCACCACTAGGGAGAAGTGACCATACAGTCATCTTATTCAAATTCATGGCTGAGACTACCTGTCAAACAGCTGCGCCGGCGCGTCCTAACATATGGAGGCAATCAACTCCGCAGCATCGGCTGAAAACTGAGAAATTGACGCAAAGGCATCAGTACAAGAGGTATTTACTTTTTTCAGGCAGTTATACAATCGGGTAACTCAACCATACATACCCTGGACAGTCCCAAAGAAAAAAAAGCACGACCATCCCTGGATAGGCCGGGATATTCGACGTTTACTAAGACAAAAGAAGAAATGTTGGGATGTTGCCATCTGCCTTGGAAGGACGCAATCGTCACTCCCATACATAAAACAGGTCCACGACAAGTTCCATCGAATTACAGACCTGTAAGCCTCACCAGTGTTATAGTTAAAATATTGGAAAGAATAGTCGAACGGACCATAATAGCATTTATGGAAACCAATAACTTGCTAAACATAGAACATGGTTTTAGTAAGGGTTTATCTTGTACAACAAACCTCCTTATAGCAAGGTAGTTTTGGATAAATGCGCTAGACGACGGAAACTCAGTGGATGTTGTCTACATAGATTTCAGTAAGGCTTTTGACAAGGTGTCAACTAATAGACTGCTACTGAAGTTGGAAAACCTTGATATTTCCGGACCTCTTTTAAAATGGATTAAGGATTTCCTCCATCTGGGGACTAGTGCTTAGTGGGGTACCTCAAGGTTCCGTCCTAGGTCCCTTACTTTTTATAATGTATGTTAATGATCTTCCAAGTATAGTCAGTCTCCAATGTTATTATACACTGACGATGTAAAAATCTGGCGAGTAATAACTGGAGACATAGACGCATGTGCTCTTCAGGCATACTTAAACTGGTCTAAAGAGTGGCTGATGCCTATAAACGCGGCAAAGTGTGTCTACATGCACTTTGGGGATTCCAAAGTTAATAGGTACAACATAGGAGAAGTGCCATTACCCGTAATCCGGTCTCATAAGGATCTAGGGGTGACAGTGAGTCATGATCTCAAGACGACGGCCCATTACCTGGAGGTCTCAGCTAAGGGGTTTCGAACCCTCTGAGCTTTAAAACGGACATTCACTGAGTTAGATACTACCATGTTCACCACAGTATACACATCCTTAGTGAGAACTAAGCTTGAGAACTGCATTCAGGCTGCAAGACCCTGTTTAAAAGGTGGCTCGAATATCCTAGAAAAAGTACAGAGGGCAGCTACTCGTGCAATTCCAGAACTCCGGGGTTTACCATACAAAGAGCGGCTTGAAAAGCTGAACCTCTTTACTCTGTCCTATCGCAGATTAAAGGGAGATCCAATTTTCACAGATTGAAATCATGAGTCAGTTGAAGCTAGACCACCATTGATGTACAGAATACTGAGAAATGAATTTGGACCTAATTTATTCTCTCAGAGGATATCACAGGTGAGTAAAAAAGCGAAGAATGAACAAAATACTCGTGGCATACAGGGTTTCACACCGAGTCATCAATACTTGGAACCTGCTGTCCGCACCTTCAATTGACTCTTTCAAGAGAAGATTGAACACTCACAGAAGCATACTAGAAAAGGAATAACATAGGCCGTAGGCCTTCTGTCCTTACTATACAAATCGGAATCTTTACTTTGCTTAAATTTCAGTGGTTTTATGTTCTAATGCTTTGTAATATTACTATTGCTTTCTTAAGTGATATGAACGAACAAAGTTTTCTAGCATAAATAAATTGTTCACTCAACAGTCAGGTCAGTTTTTTAAACAGTTTGTATGTTTGGGTCTATTCATTCGTCTTCCGTGGTCTTGTTAACATTCGTATACGTTACCTCAACAGTAGAGGATATAAGCGAAGAAAAATTACTAGAACGCGTGTTTAAATCAGAGTAAACGATATCCTTGGCAATTTCACTGCAGCATATTGCATATTCTCCGTTTAATTTCATTTGGATTATGTACTTTCCATACAGATGTCTTTTTGCATAAAAGCTTTTTAATAGTCTTATTTTCAAACAGACAAGGATGAATGTAATGACATCGCTATTGGTATCGATATTTCAGAGGATTATAGTCAAACAAACAATGTCTCTGGTGATTCACTCATTAAAATGAGAGCACAGTGGACTGAAGAATTAAAGCAAGTATGTGAAATTTTAATACCGTAGAATAATAATATGCCTATAAGATGAACGTTTCGTGTTGTGGAGTTAGAGCTTCATTGTTTACTTAGTCCTCAACCATATGGTCACCTAGTCAAACTATGCTACTCATGGTTGTTAGAGTGGTTAGCCATAAAATATGGCTTAAGTATGAATATAGTTTCTAGTTAGTCTGTATGGTCCCATGCAATAAATGTTTATCCTGTGGCATGATATCATGCGTTATGTACTGACACCAAAAATGTACTCGAGGGTGGTGAATATTTTTTAATAATAAAATTTCTATACGGAATTTGACGCAGTGTGGAGGTATTTAGTCTTCAGTAATAAGGATATTAAGTCGGTGGACCTGTGTTAATCCTTGCAGTTGGTTTTCTAGTTAGAGTCCATCCTCTCGAAAATGTTCACTGATAAAACTGATGCCACTTGCTTGGGTAAAGCATTCAGTCATTGACTACTCAATGAGAGGCCCCCAAATGCCCTGGTACGGCCGAGAGTGGGGAGAGTCCGCTCTCCCTCTCGAAATACTCTCACACGGCCACGCGTATATAGCCTCTGCCAGGGAAGTCCTACTCACTGCCTTCTCGTGGCGGGGGTGTTGTTTACGAAAATGAGAGGACGAAAAGCGAATGTCCGGCGCTTTAACCGGATTCCAAACCAATGGTGCACATGGGCTCCAGTATCCTGCGGGAACAAATGGCGAATGAACCAATTGTTGGTCACCGGCTTCCATGGGACTGCATCTCCTCACGATGCTCCACTGCCTTGTGGATCAGACCTTCAGGTCGAAGGCTCGGGGTGTGGCCCCCTAAGAAAACCACCTGTTTCGGTTTGGGCACCCGGGCAGTATCACAGCCCTCACACATATCGAATGAGATTTGTGTGGCGCATATGTATTTGGTGCCTCTTTGTACCATTATCTATGTGTTGAAATAATAATAATAATACTCAATGAGAGAAACGGAACCACACTCTGAGTTTACGAGTTTACGGTTTCTGAACCCTTTTTCTACAGCCTCGGAGATGATTAGTTCTGGGGGTGTGGTAAAATGATGAGACATCTTAACACACAATTCGTTAATAAAAATACAAAAGGCCGATGTACGGCCACCTCGCGTTCTATGATATGTTATGGGGAAAAGGTTCAGGGTTTCAACCCTCATTGTAAGAGATTCTGAAAGTACCTTTCACTAGCTTTGTTCTCACACAGTGAACACGCTTGAGTGTGTTAGTATTCTTAGCAACACATAAACAGGCTGATCGGATACAGTACTTCAGGTGTGCTCTTACATAGGTGGAATATAAAATCCGAAACGTCTCCTCAAAGCATTTGAATGCTCGGTCAAGTGACTAAAACGCTTAAACACCTTTGATGGCTGTTGCGTTGCAATGTACAGTTGTTTTTAAGTCGTGACTTACTATTATCCCTAACTGTGTTAGTGCATACTTGGAAGCGACGTATGGTCAGTGGTATACTGGTAATTGTTACTGTGTCCTATGTGCGTTATCACAATTCCTAAATTCAATTTCTGAGCCCCAACTTTGGTACACTTAACTGATTCTTCTAGATCAGCCTGGAGATCAAGGTTATTAGCCTCACCACGTTTTGTCCTCCAGATTTTGACATCTGCAAACAGTAAAGTCGACAACCTAAGCAGCGGAGGTAATTCATTAATGTATGGAAGAAAAATAGGGAAGCTAGGATGTTCCCTTGAGGTGCCCCACTTTTGACCGGCTTCTATCGAGTGTCCCATTTCCCCTCACTGTCCTGGGCCACCGAGGAAGCTCTTTATCCGTTATTGTATGGCATCTATTATTCCAAAGTTAGAGAGATTCTGCATAAGCCTTAAGTGAGAGACCTTATAAAATGCTCTGATAAAATCCATGAATATCACATCGACAAACTGTCATCTTAGACTCGTCCGATCCTCTCTCGTGATAAGTTGGTTAAGCATGAACTCTGTCTGAAACCTGTGTTGCTTAACCGGTCGCATGAATCCGTGTTACGTAGTAACAGCCCGGATTATTTTTTTCATGTAACTTAACTACTATGCTGGTTAGTCTGACAGGTCGGTACGTAGACACGGTGTCTATTTAAGTGTAGGACCATAGCATCTTTCCAATCCCAAGGTAGTTGAGTGTGGGAAAGGGATATGCTGGAAAGCGTCATGAGTGGTCCTGAAATAATGTCTGCGAGAGATGACAACAACAGTGGAAGTGACCCATCAAGACCTAGTATCTTATCAGGTCTGAGGCTAATGGTAAAAGAGCTTCCACAGTCACATGTACGGGTCCTATAGCTAGTATCTAAGTGGTGGGGTTATGACGAGTGTTATTAACGTTACTTGTAGAGTATACCCCTCACGTTGAAATCTCCAACGATGAGACAACAGTCGGCCTTACTTCAAGAACAGATTCGACTTCAGGCAAAGTCGTCAGCAAGATAACATGAACTACGGTACATTCATCTTATAGTCACTAATTCACGTAGATTTAATTGTACAACAAACTACCTCATGTACATCACGTGCCCCTCTGATGTGCTCGATTATACACGAAAATGATCTCCGACATATAATATCATGCCTCCTTCCTTGCGATTTATAACTCTATCACTCTTAATGCAGACATATCCTGCAATGACTGGAGAAAAGTCTACATCTATGATATGCCACATTTCTGTGACAACACTTATATCGGGACTTAATTCATCCACCATCAAACTTAGCTCGAACGTTTTATTTCTAAGACTACTAGCATTTGTATTGCACATATGATGTTTTGGGAATCACTCGTTTTACCCATACAAGTCTTGAAAGCATTGGCTTTCTAAATGTGACTACCCGGAAACCCTGGATCTTAAGGCTTGTTTCGCCATTTTGCTTTCAAGTTTCTAACTCAGTAAGGGGATTTTTTCCACTTGATTCAATCCTCAAGTAGTCATCCTGGTGGTATACGAATATTCGAATTACGTGTTTTGTATGTTATTTAGTATAACATTCTTTTCCTCATTACTGCTACCATGACATAGTGGTTGGGCTTGCCTATCGTAATGACTCAACCGAGCTATATTGGCCAGAACACAGTTCCTTTAGGTCATACCGTGCCAGGCAGGTCGGCTGGAGAATAGTAAGAAGTAGTAACTGAAGACCCATAGCAAATTCGTACTACTTATTGTGGGAGGGATGACAGCAGCAAGGTGTTTTCCTCGGACAACCAGCATCTGCGGCGATGACTTTTCACGACGAAAGGAAAGGGTTAGAAAAGGTTGACCCAAAAAATGTCACACTTTATTTTACCCCACGGGTTTCCGTCTCCGCCGGTGAGGTCTTTTGAAGTGCGGAGCTAATACATCAAAACCCTCCCACAAAAAAGCCGTAAACAGCCGGCCCCAGGCAGTTTTCCGTTAGGTTCCTCAGTCACGCCTCTGGGTCATTAAAACCACCCCTAAATATGCTTCTTTTACAGGTCCCTCAAGAAGACATCGTTTTACGGTGTAGGCAGCCAGGAAGTGACAGTTGCCTTCATACCTCTGTCAGCACCCCCTATCATCTTACTGACAATCGAATCCTTTCCCCGCCTTTTAATAATTCTACCTTCCCAGCTACTAACTATTCTCGTATATCTTTATCACAGCGTGCCATCAGTGCTAATGATTTGAGTTCACGAAATGTTATTCCTAGTCTCCTGAAACCAGGCTCGAAACTACATGTTGGAGCTGCTAATGTTCGAACCTTGTGTCAGATAGAACAACATGCTTCTTTATCCAGGACTCTAGAATTTTACACCATCGTTGTATGCTGCGTCTCCGAAAGGCGCATACGGGATCCAAGTGTGGCCATTCCTTTGACTTCACCTTTTCAATATAAAGAACGGGCAATATTACCCTTTAAGTTTCTGGAGACCCTATTACTACTTCTGTTGGCCCTTCTAGTGTAGGTATAGTATTAATTTCTAAAGCAGAACAGGCTCTCTTGAACTGGATTTCAATACACAGTCACTTGTGAGATGTGTGAATAAATGGGACAAAGAAAGCTCGAAAAGATAGGGACACATGACGTTGCCTTTTCGTTGTCTCGATCTATGCTTTCACTGATTGCAGCCCAAACGAAGTTAAAGATGAATCTTATGAGGAGCTATTCGACCTCTAAAGAGCTAAACGCTCTGATGTAGTAATAATGGCAGGTAATTTTAATGACCAAGCAGGTAAACTAGACGAAACCAAAAGGCACTCAGGAAGGTCTTACGGGGTTGCAGCTCAGCGAACAGATAATGGTGACCACCTGTTATTCAGATAACCCCCAAATGCCGAGATTGGGGAGAGTCAGCTCTCCCTCTCGAAATGCTCTCACGTGGCCACGTGCATACAACCACTGCCACGGAAGTCCTAGTCACTGCCTTCTCGCATCACGAGTGTTGTTTACGAAATTGAGAGGATGAAAAGCGAATCACTAGCGCTTTAACTGGGTTGGTGGACATGACGAGTTGAACATGGAGGCATGGGACATAGACATGGGGAGTTGGAAAACCCTGATTCCAAACCAATGGTACTCATGGGCTCTAGGATCCTGAAGGAACAAGTGACGTATGAACCAATTGTTAGTCACTGGCTACCATGGTGTTGCATCTCCTGCCGTTGCTCCATTGCCTTGTGGATTAGACCTTTAGGTCAAAGGCTTCGGGTGTGGTCCTTTAAGAGAACCACATGCCTCGGTCCGGGCACACACAAATAAAATGAAACGACGATAATTACTGAAAATGCTATTCGCACTTCGATTGAAAGTCAGACAATTCACATTCATTCTTCCTTTTTTTAATTATTACGACACTTTTCCGCTCTTCTATTCCCACTTTGTGTATTCTTATATTTCAACTTATACATCAGCTCACCTATGGTGGGAATTGTTCTGTCTGAACGATCTCGATGCTTCCACCGAATACGAATAACGAAACAGTCCTTCTGAAACCACGTATATTATTCAAACTGACTTTTTTCAACGTTCGCACACTAACGCATATCGGACAACAGAGAGGGTTGGCTATACCTTTACGGTATTTGGGGGCTGAGGATGCTAGACGACTCTGTTTGATCATCGTTATCTCCGAAGTATTGCCATCATCCAGTGGCAACACCATGTTAGTAATGCAGAGGTTCAGAATTGTGTTCGGGTACAGCGACGATAATTCAGTTGATGTCACTCTCTTGAAACATTGACTTCGGTGGGTTGTACGTGTTCTACGAATGTCATCCCAGAGAATTCCACCTCGTGCATTATTTGCCGAGTCTGGGACTGGTTGGAGAAAAATGGAGAGGTGGTCTGAATGAAAGCTGTACAAGACTGGCTTCTTTCGGTCCTTCACGACTCCCTGGTTGGGGTCCTAGAGATATTATCAGATATAGTTCAGAGTATAAGCCATTGGCGATCCTGCTGTAATTTTATTTTAGTTTCTTTGTTTAAAAATGGACGTAACTTCTTTAAATAGAAGAATTCTCTCATTGGAATCGGTTACTTCAAGCGGTGTTTGTTAGGGCTATCCGCTTTCCCCATTTTTATTTAACTTTGTCATAGACATGCTTTTAAAGATAGCAATCATCGCCTGACTTTTCAGGGATTGATCTTCTACCAGGAAATTCACTTGTTGACCTAGGGTACACAGATGATATAGTTCTGTTCGGTGAAGTCTGAAAAAGTGCAGTCTTTTGAACATATTGAGCAATAAATCATGTATGTTTAGAATGCGGTTCACTCCCTCCAAAGGTAAAATATTTCAGAATTGGCTTGCGTCATCACCTGAATTTTTGATAGGGAGTGAAGTAGGTGAACGTGTCAATCGCCTAATTTATCTCAGGAGTCTCATCAGTACTGATGGTCTGGTGTCGTTGAGACTACAATTTATCGATGAACCAATCATATATGAGATAATAGCCCTTTGATTTCGGCGCGAAATCCATCCATTTGGCTAAATTGCGTTTTGGCACTTTGGCTGATGTCAGTCGGTGATGGAAACCCCAAATCCTTACCCTAACCATCAACTGTAAATCACAATTCTAATCTCTCACACTGCTTTATAACCCTCATTTAGTAGGTGGACACTCTCAAGGTCACGTTATCGTCTCTCGAAGGTCGTCCATAAATTATAGTCCCACCCTGGTGTCTGACGAAGTCTCAGCACGGATTCAGAAGGCTTAATCGACTTTTGCCAACCTGCGTCACTTGTGGATTAGACAAGATATCTGTCTTCAAACTAGAGTCAGTTTACTGCGCAGCTGTTCACTCCGTTCTACTTTATAAATGTGAAACATGACCATTAAGAGTAGAGGATATTTGTAGGTTAATGGTATTCGATCCTAGGTCTCTACAAACACATTGCTCGTGTATACTGGGAGCAAGGAGTAGGTAGTGCCTGCATTGGGAATAGAGTACTAGGTAAAGATGTGAAATCGATTAATGAGGTAGTAAATCTTCATCGACTGAGGTGGTTGGTATAGGTGTTGCGTATGCCCACCTGCCTCAACGGACATTTTTTTTACACAGGAGCAGGTTGAGAAAAGCCTAGGGTCGGCCAAACCAAAACGAGACATCAATCCGTGAAGTTACTGACAATCAGACTTATCCATGTTAATAGGTACAGACTACCTGGTTAGGGTCCGCGTGATTATCGTAATCAATGGTTAGAGACATTGAATGACGGCTCAAAGTCCTTTGCACTGGCGTAGGTGCATCCATTCCCTGTTTCTCCCCAAATCCTGAGATTCTAATTTCTTCATAACTTTTTCTGATTTTATTTCACTAATTTGTGTTTTCTTTTCGAGTCGTATCTTCGATGCCTAATATTTCGTATTATCACTGATACTGCTACTGTAGTGAACAAGAACACCAGTGGGAACAATAGAATGTATTTGATACAAAATTACAGGACTTGTTAATAAAATCTAACAATCGTATAGTAAATGCTTAACTTGCAAAATGTCTATCAATTGTCTCAAATGACTCCGACTTCATTGTTCTTGCATTTTCATACAAATTGCATTCTGTTTCCCTTCTTTACTGTTCGATCCTCTTGTCTCTCTGTTGCCAGACATTCTGTTCACGACTAACGTCATACACTACTTGTGTCAATATAGGTAGCACACACCACACTACTTCCTCAACTATTCAGGGATTTCGCCCGACAATTTCCTCTCTCTATGCTAATGGTATATGGTAACTTGAACCTGTGTACATAAGTACAAGTTCTACGCTGTCTGAGTGTAACTTCTAAGTACCTACTTCAAAATCCTTCTTGGTTGGGTCTCGCCTCCAACCTACTTATCACTTCAGTATTATGTACTGCTAAAACCTATTCTAGCAGTACATTTCTGATAGCGGATTCCACTAACTCAAAATCGTGTGCATGTCTTTTAGCAGGGTCATTTTCTTTTGACTCTTTCAGATTCCAAATGACCTTAACTTCTTTGAAAGTCGATTGATTTTTCGCTTAATCCACTGCATGTTTTAGTATGGCGGTTGTGTTCTGTAAGATACTCGTAATTTCCTAAGTAGGCTAATTTTACAAGGCAATGGAGAAATTATTAGTATCGAGGTATTATATAATGAGAAGTATTAGTCTCAATATATATTTCCATTGAATTTTACCTCTCAGATTCTTATCTAATATTTATTCGTATTCTAATCTTTTACATATCAATAATCTAAAAATGTACGATTTTATCCTTCGTTGAGGTCGAAGATGAAATTCAAACACTGCGACAAGTCTTGTTATCTAAATTTCGTCGGCAGCAGTTTTTAAAGCGCCAGCTTGGTATAACACCGATTGAGGAGCTAAAAAGTGAGGTTAAACAAGGTCTGGATACTTTGCGAACCAGTGATGCGTAAGTCTATTAGTTATTTGCTAGATTTCTGTTAATGTTGTTGCATAGGCTTACCCATGTTACACGTCAAAGTAATATGATTATAGTTTACAGAATAGCAAACTAAATAATTAGAAATATGATATAAATGTCTTAAACTGTATTTCAGATTCAACACGAGCCTTTAATTTCGTTCTTAACATTGAATCACGTTAGAAGACCTAGTCAGGGGTCTCTTTACAACAGTTCAGATATATATATATATATATATATATATATATATATATATATATATATATATATATATATATATATATATTTGAAAAAAAGTGTTGATGATTCTACCTCATTATATGATAGTTGTTATGACAAGAGCAAGACTTGTGAAGTGAATATTGTTGTGATTTGTGGTCGGCTAATATCATGTGATAAGGTAGCCAATCAGAATACGACTTATACAATCTTAACACTGTGCCACAACAATGACTTATTGACCGATATGAACAGCCTAGTGTCCTTATTAGTCCTTTTTCTGCCTAGCTCTGCCTGTTGAGACCAGAACGCGAACATCAGCCTCCACTACACGAAGTTCATGAACAGAGGTCATGTTGAATAATTTAATCATCAGTTGTATTTAAGGATTACATATCCTTAACAATTTCACTTATCACTTTAATGATAAATGATTTTAGAAAGAAATAACATTTATTTATTATATGAAATTGTTCTTGTCTTCTGATAACCTTCTAGATATCTTAAAACATCAGCTGTTGTAAAAACTGCTAAGGATAAGACATCAGCTGCATTATTTGAGAAATGGAATTTATTACGGTATGTTTATCAACAGATGAATTCATTGATGTTTATTACATTTAATATGTATATCAAAATTATATGTAGACATTCTCATTAGGTGGGAAAAATTTTTTATTATTTATTTTATTTGAGCACATAAATATCAGTATACAGGGGCACCGAATACATTTGCGCCACACAAGTCACTTGATTTGTATGTGGGCTTTGGTACTGCTCGGGTGCCCGAACCGAAGCAGATGCTTTTCTTAGGGCTACGTACTTTTTATTATTGCGGGAACCCAAATAGATAGGTGTCAGTTTTCGACTTCATGGATAAGCCACGGCTCGCATTGGTCATTGCATTTTTTAAAGTGTCATTAGGTTTTACAATGTGATCACTAACCTCTAGTGTGCTAGTTATTCACACTATTATTCTTCTGTCGATCCTACCTCCCACGCAAATTAGCTTTCATTTGAAGCCATGTAATAATATAGAGCCATATACTGTACTCGTTCAACAGTATGACCAAAATGAGAGTGAACATAACTCAAATTGTATTCGATCTCTTATGATCCATGTTGGAAGATTGTAAAAATTCTACACCTAGCCATTTTTATTCAGTTCGTAGATGGGTATGTGAATTCAGTAGTATACTAAGATGGAAAATCTAAAAAATCATTCCTTAAAATGGTTTCCTATCTGCAATGGCTTGTGTTGATTTGATCAGATCAACTCTGTCTTGTCATTGTCCTATCAAAATATATGAAAGGGGCTAATTGCTTGTGCGATGACCAATTTTTCGCTACAGTAAGAACTCGTTTTGTAGGACTCATGATGACACGTATATATATTGCTGCTTGTTCCTCATCTTCCATTACTGATTTTTCTGCATTGAGTGAAAGGTGAGTTTTGAAGGAAGCCTTCTGATCTTTAGAAATCTAGGAGTTCAAACGTAATAATTCTAGCTGGTGATTTTGACATTCATGTAGGTATCCTAAGTCAAGCTCAAAAACACTTATGTAGGTCTTTTGGTGCCCCAACAGACAGATAACAACGACTGTCGCCTGCCATTAATCCTTAGATAACCGTTTATTTCTAGAAAGTACCAATGATAGGGATAGAGAGAAACATTGTCTAACTTGTTCATACTCAGAATCAATACAGCAATGGACACACAAACCATCTCGCTATCAACTTTCATAATTGTTAGTTCAAAAGAAGACTGCTGCTTTATCTGGACTAAATGATCTAATGAGAGTATGCACTTTACGCAGAAACACCTCATAAAGCAAGACTCTTTAGAGGGATTCATTCGAAGATTAAAAAGTCAAAAATCCATCCAAAGACGAAGTAGTCAATCAGTTAGTCGATTTTGAAAGGGAAGTTCATCCCAACAAAGCTTTGTGTAGGCCAAAGATATGTATTAGCAACTTCAGCCAAAAGATAAGGAAAATTTTTAGTTAACTTTTACTTATTTGATAGCTCCTCAAAAACTCACCTTGGCTGTCTCGGTGAGTGAAGAAAGCTTAGGCGTAAACCAACAAACAGGTTATATAATAATCGCCATCTGGAACGTATTCACAGGGAAGCTTTTAGTCATTTACCAATGCAACCCTAAGGTTTGTGTTCGATGGCGATGTACACCATCCCGTTTTAATCGTAGAAATTGTGACTGCCATCTTTTCGTCCTATCTTCATCTTCATTGGACTTTTTAGGTGAAAAAGTAACTAGTAGTATGTCTAACATTCATGAATGATCGAGACCAGGAGATATTCGTTCTTTATAAGCACGATTAAAAACATCGTGATTCTTCAACACATGTGGTACTGCTATCGGTTCTCCCTAGTGTTGAAAAAGTATGTAGTTCTCGTTAGATCGTGTACAAACCAAATCGCAACTCTACGGATCATTGTGGAACAATCAATTGAATGGAATTCATCACTCTACATCAACTTCATTGACTACGAAAAAGCATTTGATAGCGTAGACAGAACAACACTATGCAAGCTTCTTCGACACTACGGCGTGCCTCAGAAGATAGTCAATATCATACGGAATTCATATGATGGATTAAACTGCAAAGTCGTGCATGGAGGACAGTTGACAAAGTCGTTCGAAATAAATACCGGTGTCAGGCAAGGTTGCTTACTCTCACCCTTCCTCTTTCTCCTGGTGATCGACTGGATCATGAAGACGTCAACATCTAAAGAGAAGCACGGGATACAGTGGACATCTAGGATGCAGTTGGACGATCTAGACTTCGCAGATGATCTGGCCCTTCTATCCCAAACGCAACAACAAATGCAGGAGAAGACAACCAGTGTAGCAGCAGCCTCAGCAGCAGTAGGTCTCAATATACACAACGGGAAAAGCAAGATTCTCCGATACAACACAGCATGTACCAATCCAATCACAATTGACGGAGAAGATTTGGAAGATTTTAAAACTTTTACATATTTGGGCAGCATCGTTGATGAACAGGGTGGATCTGTTTCAGATGTGAAGGCGCGGATCAACAAAGCAAAAACAGCATATTTACAACTGAAGAACATCTGGAACTCTAAGCAACTGTCAACCAACACCAAGGTCAGGATTTTCGATACAAATGTCAAGACAGTTCTACAGTATGGGGCGGAAACCTGGAGAACTACGAAAGCCATCATCCGGAAGATACAGGTGTTTATTAACAGTTGTCTACGCAAAATACTTCGGATCCGTTGGCCGGACACTATTAGCAACAACCTACTATGGGAGAGAACAAAGCAGATCCCAGAGGAGGAAGAAGCTCTGGAAGTCGATAGGATGCACATTGAGGAAAGTACCTAACTGCATCACAAGACAAGCCCTCACATGGAATCCTTAAGACCAAAGGAAGAGGAGAAGAAGAAGAAGAACAAAGAACACATTACGCTGGGAAATGGAAATAGGCATGATAAAAATGAACAAGAATTTGATGGAACTAGAAAGGAAGACCGAGGAGAGAGTGGGTTAGAGAATGCTGGCCTGCGGCCTATGCTCCATTGGGAGTAACAGGCGTAAGTGAGTTCGTGTGTAAATAAGTTACAAATACGTAAATAAGTCATACCCACAACAATTATACTGAAATTTAGCTTCTGTGAGTAACAATATTCTTCAACATTAGTTAGCCTACTAAAAAAACACAACTAAACTCAATGTAGAGATAATGATTTTAAAGGTTATACAAATTAATAGGCCATAATGTGTAGGAAGTCGTCATATTTTCATCGGTAAACTGATAGGTTAATGTAATTGAATGAAAAACCAATTTGATTGTACTAAGATAAATGTGTTTTAGTTTAATAGTTTCTTTGATACATTTTAGACAAACTAATACATACAAATCCTTGGAGAATAAAGTGGGTTCAGCGTGTCTCAATGTTTACGTAAGTGTTTAATTATACCTAATAAGATTATATAATCCTCAAAACGTTTTTTTAATCTTCTGATTCTGGTTTTATAACATGATTAATCAAAATAAAAAATCAAGTTTAAATTACTGTAGTTTTAGAGATAAGTAAACTTTCACTTTTTATGAGACTTGACATCTGTTGGTAAATGTTTTATTGCTGGTGTGATAGCTTTTAAATCACTTACAAAATCCCTATAGATTAGTCAAAAAGAAAACAAAGCAAAAACTTTTTTGGCGAATTGTTTTAAATAGTCAGTCAGCTACATCGTAGGACCAGGCACATATGTGCATCGGTTCAGGTTGCCATACCGCATCAACACAACAAGATGAACACCAGATTCATAACAGTGGTTAGGTAAAAGGTGGTAATATATAAGAGAAAGATTGCATATAGAGATATAGTACAAGCAGAAAGAATTGGTTCGTAGAAAGAAAGATATGAAGCGATTTTAATCTCATAGTTTAAGGGAAGACAGGGAGTGTATACACCGACGCCATTGTGATCGATTCTGAGCCATGTCACCAAGAGTCTCCAACCATTGGTTACGATAGTCACGCGGACCCCAACCAAGTAGTCTGCATCTACCAACATGGCTCAGACTAGAGGTTAGTGACTTCAAGCACTGATGCCACGTTTTGGTTTGGCCGCCCCTAACTTTCTTCCAACCATTTCCAATACCATTACCAATAGCAGTATACTCGTCCTTTTATTGATAGACGGATATCTCGCCTTCGCCACAGATGACGTAAGTTGGCAAAAGCCAAACGAGCTTTTCGAATCCGTGCTGAGATTTCGTCCGATACCAGCCCATTAGGGCTGATCAGACTTCCAAGATAAGTGAAGTTGTCAACGCGTTCGACTACTTCACTCCCTATCCTTAGTTCAGGTGTTAACGCAGACCAGTCCTGAAGCAACAACTTGCATTTAGAGGGAGAGAAGCGCATTCCAAACATCCTGGCATTGTTGCTCAGTGCTACCAGAAGACTCTGCATTTTGTCAGCGTCTTCACCAAACAGGACTATGTCATCTGCGTATTCTAAGTCGATAAGTGGACCTCCTGGAAGGAGATCAATACCCGAGAACTCAGTCGACGAGAAAGTTATTTCTATCAGTAGATCTATGATGAAGTTAAACAAAAATGGGGAAAGTGGACATCCTTGACGGACACCACTTGAGGTTGCAAAAGTAGATGACAGTTTGCCATAAGCTCTGACTCGACTAGTAGTATTCGAGTAAAGAGCAAGGTTTATTTACTCCTGGGGTACGCCTTTCAATGACAGACACTGCCACAGAATCTCGCGGTCTACCGAGTCAAATGCTGCTTTTAAGTCAAGAAAGACCACCATCGTCGGACGCCGATAAGTATGCCTGTGTTCTAGAACCTGACGAATGGTGAATATGTGATCGATGCAGCCACGACCAGGTCTGAAGCCAGCTTGATTTTCTCGTGTTTGCAGTTCACGAGTTTTAGTTAGGCGTCTGATTATTATTGAGGCTAGTATTTTAGATATTATATTAGTTAAACTAATCCCTCTGTGGTTGTCACAGGATGATATTGACCCTTTCTTATATATTGAGACGATAAATGATTGTGACCAGTCAGATGGAATAACGTCTAACTCCCAGATCTTAGCTAAAATATTAGTCAACCTAACCGCTAAAATTGGACCACCATCCTTAAAGACTTCTGGAGCCAGTCCATCTGGACCAGCAGCCCTTCCTCGTTTCAGATTATCTATAGCCTTATGAACTTCAGCAAGAGTTGGGGGACCTACTTCAATGTTCCATTCACGCTGTCTGGGAATGGAGGCTATTTGTAGAGTAGCTGAAGGCCAGCTGAACTGTTCTCTAAAATGTTCCGCCCATCGTTCTAAACGTATGGACTGGGAGCAGATGAGAGAATCGTCTTTTTCCGAAATAATCTCACACTTGACTTATAAATTCCAGTTTCTTTTATTAGTCTGTGAAGCTGTCTTGTGTTCCCTATAGTCGCCGCCTTTTCCATCTCTTTTGCTTTCGTTGCCCACCACTGCTCACGGTCGTTTCTTAGACTTTTTCTTAACCTAGATCTGATTTGTTGTCGCTCTTCATCATGTTCGGAACCTGATGGGACGAGTTTGCGAGAATCCATCAGTGTGATAGACTTTGAAGAAATCCACTGGTCCTTTGAAACTCTGTGGTTTAAGTTGCTAATAGATGTCACTGCTGCTTCCACAGCTGCTTGTATGTCTTTCCAAGCAACATTGTTTTAAATAACCTCGACAACAGTCTCTGCAGTTATAAATCCGTAACTGTTGTTATTTTATTAAGGCCAAAATAAAGCATGCTAGTGAATTTTAAAAAAGTGATGAATCTTTACCTCTGTTACGGCATAAATACGTTGAAATTGTATCATTTGTAAACTAAAAAAATCAAAAGGATTCGTTGTGAGGTGTCAAGTTATAATCATTATGATAATGATAAAGCAAATTATGTCAATAAAATGCATAGTGGGCATATTTCGCCTCGTTAATAGAGATAATGAGGTCGTGTGAATATGATACGTAATAAGTAAGATGCTGTCAAAGTGATTATGATAAGAATTCATGTGAATTGTGAAAGATCAATGTGTAGATTATGAAAGGTAGGAACACACAAAAATTGAGTGTGGGTAAGGGATTTACAATATCCAGTTCAGGTACCTAGTGGTCTAGTCGTGGATCCAGATAAGCACAAAAGTTTAATATACCTCTTCTGGATGCATAAGTTAGACTTTCTGGAGTTGATCCAGATAGGTTCAGCTATGTAGAGGAGTCTTAATCTATCTAGCTCCTTGAAGTTGAGGACCGCTTTGTGGTTTAATTTCTTCTATTTTTCTGTAGAAATTCTCTAGTTTCTGTTGTGTACATACATGTTTATTTCAATGTTCAGACAACTTGAAGGATGCCTTCATTGGGTAACCAAGTAATTGTTTGGTTATCCACTCAGGCAATTGAAAACCATGCTGCATCTATTAACAACGATCTTTACAACTTTCTGTCAACTACATAATTCATCTTTTTATAAATCCAGTTTCACTTGGAGTTGATAAAAATTAATATTGTTTCTCCTCAATAGATCGAATTTTTTTATAGGAAGTAAAAGGGCATATGTTAAAGTTCCCGATCAGCTCTACTGTGTTACCATTTTTGCCAACATTTTTATGAACCTATAATAACAGAAAGACTGGATTGAGCAGTCGTTTATATTTTTGAAGAATTCCACGGTATTGTAAGACAAGTTGGAGTAGTTCGTTCTTTAAAAAAAGTCTATTTACATTGTACTTTTTCCGACCTTTAGATTTGGATGTAATTTAAAGAATAAGTGGATATTGTTCTGAATTTTCAAACGTAATAGTTATGCAACGCTATTTGCTATCCATTTTTCCTTGTTATTTATCTAGATGTCTATATCATTCTAGGATATGTGTATCAGTACTGCTCCTTATTAGTAATCTCTATTGAGGATGATAGTTACATTGGGAATAATTTAGTGTTTAGTTTAGAAAATCTATCCCTTTTGTTCACGCATTATCATTTGCTTGTTCCCAATCATTTATGTTGCATACAATTATCATTTTGTCAAATGGAATTCTGAAATCAACTTCATCATATTGCAATATAGACTATTCAAATTACATAATTTATCTTCTGCTTACGTATTAAAATGTTTGTTTGTTTTTTTTTCAAAAAAATCCTTCATTCACACACTCATCTCTTAACATGTGTATATTCTGTTCTGTTTACTACTATTGTATTTTGCATCTTCAGTAAATGACACTGTACTATTAAGCTTATTATCTAAATATCGATCCATATTTTATTAACTCCTTCGACATTCTTCTATAGATTGATTTGAATTCTGTCAAACTGTTTTTCACTGTAGTCATCATTGTAATTCTAATATTTTGTTTTTTGTTTTCTTTCTTTGTTAAATCAAATCAACAAAAACAGTTTGGATCTTTATTTTGTCTCAGATTTCTTCCATTTGACTTTCGAGTGTTTTAACACTTCACATTGTAGTGAATGAGAACACAAATGGGAACAATCGAATGTATTTGAATACAAAATTATAGAACATTCTAGTACAATCTGAGAACCATATAGTAAATACCTTATTTGCAAAATGTCAATCAATCGTCTCAGACTTCACTCTTCCTTCACCTCCACAGCAATCATTCTCGGTTCTCGTTCTCTCACATTCGATCTCCTTAACCTTATGATGCCAGGCTTATCACTTCCGATTGATGATGCACACTACTTATATCTGTCGACATCATCATCACATACCACAAAACTTATAGGCAGCTATTCATTAGGCCGTCTAGTGTTCAAAATTAATCAAGTTTACCTTACTTTTTATTTATATTTTCATTAAATTAGTTTGTTATGTTGTTGTTTGTTGAATTATATATATATATATATATATATATATATATATATATATATATATATATATATATATATATATATATATATATATATATATATATATATATATATATATTCACAGAAGGAAAGCATATCTAACCTCTCTTTCTTTTTTCATGGTTTGATTCCTTAAAGTAGTGACCACATGTATTATGACCTAAGTATTTTTCTCTACCCATTAACTTCTGCAATCTTGATTATGTAATCAATTACAGTTATTTGCATCATTAATTGTAGCCTCATCTCTCTTTGTACAGCTAAATGTTCTTTATGTCATATCAGCTTCCACTACAATGTATTTTTGTGTGTGATTTTTCTGTCCGTTTACGAAAACATCCACTTCATTTTGATTAAATGAAATAAGTCATATTTTTATTTTTAACCATTGTAATTCGTTGTAAATTTCAACTTTTTACGATTGATGGGAAACCTTGAAATGAGTTATATATAAGATGTAAACTGGTTAATTTCTTTTAAATGTACCCAGATTATCGTTTAAAACGATAACCGATATGTATATATTTCACTTTTTAGGGCAAATTGACGCGTTCTAAAACATTATCAAGTGGTACTGAACAAATTAGTAATTCTGAAGTAAGTCATATTTTAATATCTTACATAATCATACTGTTGCCTATCAATCACTCAACTTAATTATGTAATCTAATGCTTGGAGATTGTTATTAATTCATTCCAGTGCTAATATAGGAGAACTATGTGTGTTCTCAGTTGTTTTGAAAGTATTCATCTTTCATATCAAATGTAATTATTGTAATATTTCCATAAAAACCACCCTTGAAAGTTCACTTTTGTATGGTCAATTGTAGTCTAATATTATTTGTAGTTATGTTATCTCTTTTTTTTAAATCACTTATTCATCCGAGTACATATGAGCTAAGAAATATTACGTTTGTGCTGAATATATTTTAACCTACAATATGTTCATCTCATTCTAGTTACCTTCAATCACATTATCAACACTTATTCACATCTTTTAATTTTATCATTACTCTCTCTCTCTTGACCTATTTCCTATAAAGCATAATATGTATTAAACTATTTTGGATCCATATAATATTATATTGATTTTCTATTCTGTATTATATTTGCCATCATTTTACCTATCACGTTACAGTAATTTATCTTAGCCTTTATATTATATGGTCATTTGAATACTTTTTTAGTAGTTAAATAATACTGAAGGGAAATTAATCTGTTTGATTACATACTTTCTTACTGGATATGTTCACTTTCTTCGAATTTAGTCAATCAGTATCAAGGTAGAACTTCGTACGTACGTACATCAGTTCCAGTTGCCACACCACATTAGCACAAAGATGCAGTTGTCGATTGAAATCCCGTAGTGGTAGAGGTAGTAAGAGTGTAAACAGTAATCGGAAAGATTAGGGTTTGAAGACGTTATTCAAGGAGTATAATACGGTGAAATAAATTTGGAAAGAGGAAAAAAGGGACATGAAGAATTCAGAAGATTAGAATTTGGGAGAACACAAAGAGTGGATGCACCTGCGCCATTGCAAACGATTTTGAGCCATGTCATTCAGGGTCTCTAACCATCGGTTTCTATCATCTCGCGGATCGCAACCAGATAGTCTACACCTACCAACATGGCTCAGTCCACTTGTCAGTGACTTCATGGACTTGTGCCATGTTCTGGTCTGGCCGCCCCTAGCTTTCTTCCGATCTACTCCTATACCACTGAACATAGCACGTCGAGGCCGTCGGTGGTTGAGCATACGTAACAACCACCGACTTCGAATGTAACTTAGATCTTGACCATAATCTAATGAGTAATCTGACTTACTTGACACAACTCAACAAAAAGATTTCACAATAAAGTTTTATTTGTTCCATTCTGGAGTTTATAGTTCTCGAGAGTTTTTTCTCTTCTGAAGCAATTCACTACAAAGAAATATGAATGATTGTGTTTAAATTGATTAAGGGATTGAAGTGTACAATCACAAATAATTATGATAAATTTAACCATTTGGTTTTAAACACGTCATAGGTCTTAACGTAGTGTTTTGGTAATTTATTGAAGCCTTTTTCATAATACAAGATGTTCACACTGTGTTAGGTAATTGAAAGAAGTCAGCGGGGAACTGTACACCTAGGTTCGTGCTAGTTGACACCTGGGAATTCGGGAGAATTAGTGCTACTTTTGGAGTTCAAACCCACGTTACAATACAACTATCAGATCCACTGTTGATTTCCTATATTATTAGAGCTTTTAAATTGTTTAGGCACTATTTAGTAACCAACTTATAGCTTCATCTTTAAAATTCTGTCATCATTGTGGGTTGGACAAACATAACAGTTGGTTTTCAATGATCAGTTAATGTAAACTCATAGCATACTTTTTTTTGAAAAAAAGGTATTCATATACTTTTGTAATCATCCTATGAATTGTTCATTAATTAATTTTTGCTCATTTTCTTGTATAAACAGAACACTACTAATACTACTTTTGCAACAGCAGAAATCACAACGAAATCGTATAATTTAAGGACAAATAATAATTCAGTTCCTCAATCAGTATCAGTTATATCATCATTATCAACGTCGTCGTCGTCGTTCAATCCCAATGATTCGAATGGTAATGATTACGATGAGGATAATATCGAAATAAATGAAAATGATTCTATGCATTTTGATCAATTACTCAACGACGATATATTATTGCATTCAAATAGAATAGATAATAAGAAATAATTATAAAGACCATAAATCTTAACTATTTCACAGTACCCATTATATATTTAGTTTTATATTGTTATGTTATTCAACTTAATTTTGTGATAAATGTACATTTTGTTTTTAGGATTAATACAACATATCAATTTTTCTTTTTTCCGGGGGGGGGTATTTGTAACGCTAACTGTGATCCCGTTATCGTTTTTGTTCATTCGGTTCTACATACACTAAATTGCTTTTTTCTTAATTATCGAAATAGTTTATCTGTGTTAATAACTTTTTTGTGTTTATCATAATTATAAATATCAGTCATTCTATATTCTTGACATTTTGTGGTATTTATGCTCTTTTATTGTCTTATGCGGTATACCAATTAAAAACCAAAGTTATAGGACAGTGGATATTATCATCGACCCATAGTCTCTTTCTCACAATAAGCGTTACCATACTTTTAATGCAAATACGCGTTTTTTCCGGAGTTTTGTACTGCTCAGTGAATTTTAAGAATTTTTCCGGCTTCTATGACAACTTTTATTGCCATGATGTGTTTGTGAATCTTCATAGACTGGAGTGGCTAGGACATGTGTTACGTATATTTACTTACCCTTTACCTCGACGGGTAATGTTTACTTGTATAGGAGTAGGTTGGAAATAAGCAAGGTTATCAGTCCATAAAGTCATTGGCTGTTTGTTTGAATCATATTAATAAATACAGATAACTTGATTGTGGTCTTCGCAATAACTGCAATCAGCGACTGCAGAGTTTACGTGACATTGATTAATATCAAATACGAAGGTATGGGTGCACCTTCCTCTCGTTTTCACGATTCAGCATTCATATATTGATAAGTCTTGTCGACTGAACGCTATATTCGATTCCTAAGCTATTCTGATAACCCGCAAGCTAGAACTACACAGCGACTTGAACACCAGAGAAAAGACGTAGTGTGAGAGAAATACTTTACTCCAAGGTTCGTTTTCGTACAGAAAACATGGGTATTCATGGATGTCAACATTTTTTAAATCAACATAATATTCCGGCCAATCCGTTAACAACATATTATGCTACTGACCAATAGTAGCGCGCCACGTTGGAATTCTAGAATGCTCCATCGTGTTGTGGTTGGCTAGGACTTTTGGGCCTCTGGAGGCTCCGTTGAAGTTCTCCGAAAGCCGACTCAACACCTCTCCCGAATAAGATTTCTTTCTAGCATCAACTTGTAGTTTGACAACTGGGTTGCGACGGCGTCCCATTATTCTTGTCGTCTTCCTCGCCCAAGGCTTCTTTTCAGTGTTCTTGGGCATTGGTGCATCAAAGATTAAATCTAATGCAAAAATCGGCCTGTCACTTCGAGTCAGCATCGTTCTTTTGTCCTTATGGATTTGATTTGTGTGTTACATACATGTCCCAAAAGTTCCTCGAAATCTGTACGGAAAAATTCCCAATTTTTATACAACTCCCGGCTCCCATTGGTTCTTCCCGATGTAGGAATTGATGTAAACTTTGTCGCCAACACTAAAGTTCCGGATACTTGGATTGTGACTGCGCTCATCCACTAATTTGGATGGCAACATGGCATTGAAGACGGTTCGGATACTCCTTCCGAACATGGTTTCCTCCGGAGACTTGCCGTCTGGAACATTCGTGTTCGGGGTGGATCTGTAGGATGTTGAAACTTTTGTTATCACCCATCCAGTTGTCCCTTCACCTCCCTCTTTCAGTAATGCTCGTTTGAAGGTGTCGACAAACCGTTCTGCTAGTCCGTTTGATTGTGGATGATCGGGTGGAGAACGAAGATGAGTTATTTCGTTTGCTCTACAGTAATGCTTAAACGATTCTTCGGCGAATTGCGAGCCGTTATCCGTTACTAAGATTTCTGGTACTCCGAAAGAGCTAAACGGGGTAGACAACTTGTGGATTGTTTCTGATTTTGTGTAATTTGGCATGGTATATACTTCCGGCCATTTAGTAAATGCATCTACGATAATAATAAACATTTTGCCTTGGATTGGACAGGCAAAATCTGCGTGAAGTTTTACCCAGCGTCCGGCAGGCGTAGGCCAATACTGATATCTCGCCTACGCCATAAATGATGCAAGTTGGTCAAAGCAAGCTAGTCGAACCTTCTGTATTCGTGCTGAGATTTCATCACACACCAGACCATAAGAACTGGTAAGACATCCCAGATAAGCGAAGCGGTCGACACGCTCAACTACTTCACTCACTATCATTAGTTCAGGTGTCAATATAACCCAATCCTGAAGCAACATTTTGCATTTCGAGCGGGAGAATCGCATCCCGAACATGCTTGCATTGTTGCTTGGAGTGGTCAGAAGACTCTGCATTTTGTCAGCGCCTTCACCAAATAAAACTATGTCATCAGCATATTCTAAGTCAACAAGTGAACTTCCCGGTAGAAGTTCAACCCCTGGAAATCTAGACGAAGAAAAGTGTTATCTCTAAAAGTACGTCGACGACAAAGTTGAACAAGAATGGGGAGAGTGGACAGCCCTGACGAACATCACTTGAGGTAATCAATTCTGATGACAGTTCGCCATAAGCTCTCACTCGACCAGTTGTGTTCGAGTAGAGAGCCTTTACAAGGTTAATGTACTCCCATGGTACTCTTTTCAGTGACAAACACTGCCATAGAACCTCACGATTAACAGAGTCGAATGCCGCCTTAAGGTCGAGAAATACTACGATTGTGTGGCGTCTGAATGTAGTAGTGTGAGCATCTGGTTTATACAACCACGTCAAGGTCGAAAACCTGCCTGATTTTCTTAATTCTGCTACTCACGAGCTTTAGTTAGGCGTCGAAGTATTATTGAAGCTAATATTTTAGACACTATATTTGTCAAACTGATTCCTCTATGATTGTCACAAGAGGACTTTTGTCCTTTCTTATAGACTGGCACAATCAGTGATTGAGACCAGTCGGATGGGATTACGTCCAGTTCCCAAATTCTACCTAAGACCTCGGTTAATCTCATTGCTAATACTGGACCACCATCCTTAAAAATCTCAGGAGTAAACCTGTCAGGGCCTGCTGCTCTCCCTCGTTTCAGATTTCCTATGGCTTTTTCAACTTCGTAAAGGGACAGAGGACCTACATTAACTTGCCATTCAGGTTGACTGAGGATCATGGGAAACCGAAGTGTGGCTGAAGGTCAGTTGAACTGATCCATGAAGTGTTCTGCCCATCGATCCAATCTCCTGGATTGGGAATGAATAATATGTCCATCTTTCTCTGAGAGTGTTTCGCTAACAGTCGGTTTCCTTAACGAGTCTAAACAATTGTCTGCTATTACCTATTGCCGATGCCTTTTCCATCAATCTTGCTTTCGCTAGCCACCACTGTTCAGGATCATTGCGTAATCTTCTTGTCAGCTTGCACCTAAGCTTACTCCGCTTTTCGTTATGTTCAGAGCCAGATGGAGTGAGTTTTCGAGCATCTACCAATGAGGTAGATGCTGCTGAGATCCAGTGTTGCTCTCTTACCTTGTGGTTTACCTTACTAGCAGATATCATTGCTGTTTCCACAGCTTTTCGGATATCATTCCATGCTGCATCGGGGTGGGCATCACATACATGGTTGCCTAACTGTATTTCTAGTTGTTCCTGAAATATACTCTTAGCTTGACTATCATTAAGTAGGCCCCTAAGAGGTTTCCTTGCAGCATCTTTCCTACGTCGAGTGAGACGCAGACAAATACGCGCTCGTACTAGAGCGTGATCTGAATCTAAGCATATGCTCCAGAATTAGCGACAGTCTTCTATTGAGCCCCTCCATCGGTGGCTGATAGCGATGTGATCTATTTGGGTCCAACGTTGGGATGAATTAGGAGGTCTCCCTGTTAAAAGAAGTTTTTATTTATGCTTAAAGTTAGTATTTGCAAGAAAGAGGCGATTATCTGAGCATAGCTGCAACATACGGTCGCCATTATCTGTTCTTTGAGCCACGACACCACCTAGGTTTCTTTCCTTATCGCTTAGTTTACCCACTTGAGCATTAAAGTCACCGACCACTATTACTACATCAGAGCGCCTAGCTTTTCGGAGAAGGTCCGAAAGCTTTCTGTAAACCTCATCTTTTACATCATCTGAGCTGCAGTCAGTGGGAGAATAGGCAGAGACGACGAAGAGGTAACGACGAGTGTCCCTATCTTTCCGGATCTTTACTGTTCCGTTGAGTCGGACCTCTCATAAACGACTGTATACTGGGATCCACTCTAAGATATCTATTTCTGCCCTAGGACTTAATGCTATAACTATGCCGGCGAGTCCACGGGAAGCGGAATCATGGCTTAGTGAGGTCAAATGAATGGCGCTACTCGGATCCTGTATACGCGTTTCGGAGACGCAGCACACATCGATGGAGCGAGATTCTAAAGTCCTAGCTTAGGAAGCCTGCTGTCCTATTTTGCACAGTGTTTGAACGTTAAAAGCTCCTACGTGTAGTTTAGAGCGTGGTTTCAGTAGACCAGGGATAGAGTTCCGCGTACTCGAATCGTTTGCCCTAGCGGTGCGAGGTGATGGAGAGACATGAGAAGGGTTAGTCATGGAGATAAGAGAAGTATTAGGTGGTGTAGGAAGGATTTGAATTTCACAAACTTAGTCTCGTGTGCTGTAACGGGTATGAGGGTTGGTGTCACTTCCCGGCTGCCCACACCGTGGAAAGGTATTTCCTGAGGAACCTGAAAAGTAAATCGGATTAGTGTCGGTCTTAACGACGTGGGAGAGTGACCGCAGAGCCCGAGAGTCAACTGCTAAAGGCCGATCACGCACAGCCTTTCAGTAAGAGGTTTTTAACTTGTGAGCCTTGTTCTTCAAAGGGAGACGGAAGTCCGTGAGGTAAGGTGAGGTGTGACATTTTTTTAGGGTCAACCTTTTCTAACCCCTTCCTTTCTTGTGAGAAGGCAGCATCGCTGCAGATGCTGGTTGTCCGAGGGAAACACCTTAATGCCGTCACACCCCCTTACAGTCAGCTGTACGAATTCACTCTCAGGCCTTGAGTTGCTGCTTTTAGTCTTATTGTTCTCCAATCGACCTGCCCGGCATGGTAGAACCTACAGAAACATATGTTCAAGCCAATATACCTCGGTTGCGTTATCACAATAGGCAAGCACGACCACCACGTCAAAGTAGCAGCTGCGGTTGGGCTCTATGTTGATGACTTGAAGTCCAATCATAATACAGTTCCTGTGATGGTTAATGGTGGACTTTGGAAGCGTTTTAGAATGACTTATGAGGAAGTGTCATGCACTTGTCAGAAGTTACCTTGAAACAAACTAATCAAGTATCAGGTAACCAGGATTTAGATTT